CAACTATAACACAGCAACTAAATAACACAGCAAATAAATAACACAGCAACTCTGATTCTTATCAGGAATGCTGATATTGCAGCCACAGCTGCGAGGAGAATTGGGCAGCACGTGCCCAAACCCAGAGCTCTCCCTGGACAGAGCCAGCCCAGAGCCATGAGGGGATGCTGGGCTCTGGAATACAAATCACAAAAACACAGCTCAGGAGTGTGACCGTGCTCACAGGGGCCTCAGGATGAGGCAAGAGACGAGGATCTGACTCCATGTTTCAGAAGGCTTGATTCATTATTTTATGATATATGTTATATTAAAACTATACTAAAAGAATAGAAGAAATTATTTCATCAGAAGGCTGGCTAAGAATAGAATAGGAAGGAATGAATAAACAAAGGTTTGTGTCTCGGACAGAGTCTCCAAGCCAGCTGACTGTGACTGGCCATTAATTAGAAACAACCACATGAGGCCAATCCCAGATGCACCTGTTGCATTCCACAGCAGCAGATAACCATTGTTTGCATTCTGTTCCTGAAGCCTCTCAGCTTCTCAGGAGGAAAAATCCTAAGGAAAGGATTTTCCATAAACTGTGTCTGTGAGACAGGAGAGATGCTGAAAGGGCTCAAGCCTCCAATCCAGAACGGTGCCCTTGGGCTTGTAAGGAAAAATTGAAAGCAAGCTATAAAATGCCCCACAAGCTGACACTGAGGAGCTCCTGACCTGCCCCATGCTCTTTTCAGGGGCTGCTGTGGGAGAAGTTAAACTTTTCCAGCCCCCAGCATCCAAGGAAGCCACACTCAATCAATCTCTCTGCGTGGACAGGGAGCTTGGCATTGTTTAGCTGAGGGCTGCACCCATCAGCATGCCATGAGAAATGGAACTGGTGTGGTTTCAACTGCCCCACGTCCCAGACAAAGCTCCAGACATCTGTGCCCGCTCCTCACCCCAGCAGCTCAGTAATTAGCTGGATAGGTTAAATTAGCAGCAGCTTCCCAGCGTGCTCCAACGGCCTTCAGCACAGAAATACAGATTCTGGTATTGGAATGGGAGGGTGCAAATTGAGACCAGCATGGCATCCTCATCCTCTGCAGCACCCCCAAAACAAGCAGATGATTTATTCATCCTGGGCATCACCACAGCTCTGGGTGAGGGCTGGGCAGGTCCCATCCTGCCCCCACGGGGTGCCCAGGGCACAGACCCTGCCCAGCCTTGGGCCTGCCCAGCTGCACTGCTGCCCAGCCAGGCCAGCCAGGGGCCCTGCTCAGCCCTGCTGCCCGTGCCCGTGGGTCACAGCACCCGTGACAGCCGGGCAGTGCCACAGGGGGTGCCAGGCAGTGCCAGCAGTGCCGGGCAGTGCCACAGTGACAGCCGGGCAGTGCCAGCAGTGACAGCCAGGCAGTGCCACAGGGGGTGCCAGGCAGTGCCACAGTGACAGCCGGGCAGTGCCACACTGGGTGCCAGGCTGTGCCACAGGGGGTGCCAGGCAGTGCCACAGTGACAGCCGGGCAGTGCCACAATGGGTGCCAGGCAGTGCCAGCAGTGCCAGGCAGTGCCACAGTGGGTGCCAGGCAGTGCCAGCAGTGCCAGGCAGTGCCACAGGGGGTGCCAGGCACAGTGAGCCCCCAGCCCCCGGGCGCTGCTGTGCTGGAGCAGAGATCCTCAGGGCTGGGCAGCTCCTGGCCCTGGGCAGCCCCAGCCCTCCCAGCCAGGCTGCCCGTGAGGCCAGAGCAGCTGGGCACTGTGAAAAACGCCAATCACTTGTTTTTATAATGTTAAAAGTTTAATAGTAATAAAATGGTTATAAAAATAGCAATGTAATTACAGTAATAATAATTTGGACAATTTGGATTAGGACAATATGAGACAATAAGAACAAAGAGTTACAGACATCCAGGTACCTTTTCTGGGCAGCACAAGCCCAAAAAAGGCCCCACGTTAACAGAGGATTAACCCTTAAAAGCAACAGCCTGTTGCATATTCCTACACCTCACACATGATGCATAAATTCCATTCAAACACAGGATTCTGGCTGGGCAGTGTCAGCTGCTTCCTCTGAACCCTGACAGTGTCATCATGGCTGAGTGAGGCAGGAAGAAGTTCATTTCTCCTGATAATGGAGCAATAAATTCTCTTTCTCTGAAAGATTCAGGTGTCCTGTGGCTGCTATCCCACTGCGAGTCCTTTCTTTAAAAAAGTATCTTACATAGCAGAGTTTCTATTTTAACATTTTGTTATAACCTAAAACTATATTTAACACAGTACTTAAGAGAATTAATACAGCATAACTTTCTAACATAACACAGATAATATTCATTTTAATATTTGCGAAAAGCCAATCATAAAATACCCATTTTTCACAGGCACCATCTCCAGCCACAGCTGGCCAGCTGGGATCTGTCACAGCTGGGGCTCTGTGACCTTGGAGGAGTTTTCCAGCCTCAGTGGCTCTGGGATTGGGGTCGCTGCAAAAGCCTCACGCTCCCTTCTCCACGTGCTTGACCAGAGTCAGGCTTTGGCAAGAGCTTGACCAGAGTCAGGCTTTCCATGGCAAAACTTTGTGCAGAGAGGGCTGGGGGAGGCCTGAGGAGGAGGAGGAGGAGGAGGAGGAGGAGGAGGAGGAGGAGGAGGAGGAGGAGGAGGAGGAGGAGGAGAGGGGTGCCCTGTCTGCACAGCAGCCTCAGCTGACCCGGGCAAAGAGAGGTGCAGGGGATGCCCTGTGAGGCTGAGCCAGAGCAGAGGCTGGGCAGAGCTACAGAATAAAGCAGGGATTGATTCAAAGCATCTCCTCCATGGATGCACCTTGGGCAGCACCAGAGCCCAGCCAGGGCTGCACCCAAGATGAACCAAAATGGCCCCAAAATGCACGGCCGGGCACGGGCTCTGTCCCTGGGATCAGTTCTGCTCCATTTGCATCTTGCAGTTCATTGTCCCATTCCAGCTTTAGCCCCTGCAGTCCCACCCTGCTTGTTTTTCTCTCTCCAGCCCACGGGGTTTGTGCTCTGGGGCTGAGATTTGGATCATTTGTCCTTGGTGCCCAGCTGGAGCAGGAATTGTTTTGTCTCCCTGCTCTGTGCACAGAGCTCAGCATCCCAGAATGTGAACCCAGACCCACACACTAAAGCAGCACAGAATGTGAAAAATAGAAAAGCCAAACCTGAGGCATCAGAGGGAGATGCCATAAAAACACAACTCAAAGAGCAGGAGGGTCTGGTCTCTGGGGTCAGTGTGCAGGCAGTGAGATCCTGCATTCACCCCAAGTCAGGTGAGACTCAGGGGCAGGAAAGAGAAACCAGCAGAGCTCAGAAATGTGATTGCTGCACGTGTGTGGGTCTTTGCTGCAGAGAATTTGGGCTAGAAGGGCACTGACAGAGGGGGGAGGAGGCACGGGGGTGGAACAATGAGGCAAATCAGCTCTGACAAGTCCCTCTGGGGCTTCCACCTTCCTTCCTCCAAAGTCACCAAGGGATCAAAAATCTTTTCACATCCCCATGCTATTTCTGAGGGGCTTTGCAGCTCTGCTGCAGTTGCCATGACACCAGAGAGTGGCAGTGAGGGAGGAAAAGGTTGGGATCCTGCAGATCCCCTCCCTGCAGCCTCACCTGTGCTCTGGCCAGGTGCATTGAAGAAAGCTGCAAGGACCCCTTTGTGCCACAGGCAGAGATTTTCTGTCCAAATATCCCCGAGGCATGAGACGGCATCAAAAGCTGAAACAGGCCCTGCAGGAGCAGAGATTCTCTGGGCAAGTCGGGAATGTCCACTCAGTTCCTGGAGAAAACAACATCTTTATTTACCTCCCCAAAGCCATGAAGCATCTTTTAAACATTAGAGCAGTGCAGCGGCAGTGCCCTCCTTGCAGCAGTGTCAAACACAGCACACACATCCCAGGGCAGCTGGTGTTGGGACTGCAGCCCAACCCCACCAGCTCCAGCTCCTGGAATGCTCCTGAGCTGCCACTCTGACAGAATTCCCCTGAGAGGTGTAAAATCCTGCCTATAAATACAGGAAAATAACCCCGGCAGGGGCAGCACGGAGCTGCCTAAAGAGTATTTCTGGCTTGTGCTAAGGAGTGAACTGGGGACTTTTTCTGCTCCAGCAATTTTGATAAGTGTGGGGATAAGGCCAAGATAAAAATAATTACATCTGATAGTCCCCTGGTTCACCTGCCCCTGACTAACCTTTGAATAAAAATTCTCTAAAAGATGCTAGGAGTTGCAGTCAGCACAGATTTGATTCAGGTCTGATTTAGAAAAGGTGGAAAACTCCTGAGTCCCTCTGAATGCAGCTCAGGAATGGTGGGAAGTTCAGCCCAGCAGGATGATGGATTGTGCTCCCACAGCATCACAGAACTGTGATGAATGAGCTGCACATGGCACTGCCTGGGACAGAAAGGAAGGGAATGTCCACAACAGCAGAGAGTAATGACTGAGCAGAATTCAGGAGAGGAGGATTGCTCTGTGGCAAAATGGGCAGGAAAAGGCATTGGGAAAGTGTTAACCCATAGAAATCACAGTTGTGGGAGATGGCACCTCTCCTCCTGGAGCCCATCACAAAAATCCCAGACTGGGTTGGGCTGGAGGGACCCCAAATCCCACCCAGTGCCACCCCTGCCATGGCAGGGACACCTCCCACTGTCCCCAGTGCCCAGCCTGGCCTTGGGCACTGCCAGGGATGCAGGGGCAGCCCCAGCTGCTCTGGGCACCCTGTGCCAGGGCCTGCCCACCCTGCCAGGGAACAATTCCTCATGGCCAAGATCCCATCCAGCCCTGCCCTCTGGCACTGGCAGCCATTCCCTGGGTGCTGTCCCTGCAGGCCTTGTCCCCAGTCCCTCTGCAGCATCTTCTGAGCCCTGCAGAGCTGAGGAACCCCGGGCTGCCCCAGCCCTGCAGGGTTTGGGGATCCTGGGCTGTCCCAGCCCCCAGCCTGGGGGTCACTGGTGGGTGCCCTTGCAGTCCCAGGCCAGCCCAGCCCCTCCCTGCCCAGCACAGACACACAGACACTGCACAGGAGCTGATGGATGGGTTTATTGGAGGGTTTCTTGGAGGGTGATCAGGGTCAGGGGCTCCCCGTGGGGCTGGGGCTGGCCCAGGCTCCTGCTCTCCCCAGGGTGGTCAGTGGTACTTGTGGGCCAGAGCGTGGGCCACCACACCCACGAGCTTCTGCCAGGCACACTGGCACACAGGGCTGAAATCCCCGCCCAAGTGGGACGCCAGGACGATGACAAGGACATCCCCGAGGAGCTGAGGAGAGAGGGACAGGCGGGTCAGTGCTGCTGGGAGCTGCTGGTGAGCTGGAGCTGCTAGACAGCCCAGCCCTGCTCAAGACAGAGAGAGCCCCTGCTCAGCCACACAGAGCCCCTGCTCAGCCAGAGAGAGCCCCTGCCCAGCCCCTGCCCAGCCCCTGCTCAGCCCTTGCTCAGCCCCTGCCCAGCCCCTGCTCAGCCCCTGCTCAGCCCCAGCCCCTGCTCAGCCACACAGAGCCCCTGCTCAGCCCCTGCCCCTGCTCAGCCCCTGCTCAGCCAGAGAGAGCCCCTGCCCAGCCCCTGCTCAGCCCCAGCCCCTGCTCAGCCCCTGCTCAGCCCCTGCTCAGCCCCAGCCCCTGCCCAGCCCCAGCCCCTGCTCAGCCCCTGCCCAGCCCCAGCCCCTGCCCAGCCCCAGCCCCTGCTCAGCCCCTGCCCAGCCCCAGCCCCTGCTCAGCCCCTGCTCAGCCCCAGCCCCTGCTCAGCCCCTGCTCAGCCCCAGCCCCTGCTCATCCCCTGCTCAGCCCCAGCCCCTGCCCAGCCCCAGCCCCTGCCCAGCCCCAGCCCCTGCCCAGCCCCAGCCCCTGCTCAGCCCCTGCCCAGCCCCAGCCCCAGCCCCTGCCCAGCCCCTGCCCAGCCCCAGCAGAGCAGCAGCTCCGGCTGTCCAGGCTGGGGCTGACCTGCCAGACCCGCTGTCACCAAGGCTCTGCTGGCACTGGAACCCCCTCAGCACCAGCAGCTCCTCCTTTGTGTCTCCTTGGCGTTTCTGTGCAGATTTTCCCCCTCTGCAGTCCCTATCCCCCCCCAGACCCCTCCTGCAGCCCCGTTTTCCTCCCCCGACTTCTCCCTGAGGCAGAATTGCCCTCCTGAAGGGCTCCCACACCCTGCACACTCCTCCTCCTCCTCTTCCTCCTCAGCCCTGGTTAGGGGCATGGCTCACTCCCTGCTCCCTGCCACAGCAGAGTTCTCAGTCTTCCCACAGACAGCTCTGGGTTTTGGAAAACAGTATTTGTTTCATTCTTAAAAATAAAACAAAACCAGAAAGAAAGAACTTCAAACTAGTTCCCCATTTTTGGAATGCTGAAGCATTTGGATTTGGCCTGAAACTCACCCTGAAAAACACAATGTTTTTTTTCTTTAGACATAAATGAAGAGAATGATCCTTCTTAATTTAAAAGTGTTGGAGGAGGAGGAGGGACTGCGCCATGCCCGTGCTGGGCAAGGCAGGACTCTGCTGCTTGGTTCTGCCGGTCTTGCTGTGGAATTTGGATTTCCTGAAATGCTCTGCTAAGCTTCCCTCTGCTCTGAGCCCTGCAGCCCAGGCTGCACCTTCCCCAGGGGCTGTTCCCCAGCCAGATCTCCCCAGGTAACCATCTCTCCTGCAGGGAACACCAGGCTCCTCCTGGTGTTCTCTCCATACCTGCCCCTCCCTTGAGCTGTGCTGCCACTAAAAATGGGACTTTTGAGGGAGAAAGCCACAGACACCATTGCAAAGACCCTTGTGCAAACCGTGACCTCTCTTGGGTGCTACCCAGGGATTGTTCCCCAGCAGCCCCAGGAATGTCCCTGGACAGAGCAGCAACCAGGTCTGGCTGGGACTGCAAGCACAGCTCACCCTGAAGTTCTCGGGGTCCACGTGCAGCTTGTCACAGTGCAGCTCTGACAGCTTGGAGTAGGTGCCCTTGAGGTTGTCCAGGTTCTTGATGGCCTCCCCGAAGGAGGTCAGCACCTTCTTGCCATGGGCACGCACCTTGGGGTTGCCGATGATGGCCGTGGGGCTGGACAGGTTCCCGAAGTCAGAGAAGAACCTCTGGGTCCAGGGGTAGACGATCAGCAGCCTGGGGAGAGACACGGGCAGGTGAAGCTGCCTGACTCAGGGCCTCCCTGCAGCGCAGGGCCCTCGCGCAGCTGCACCCACCTGGCCAGGGCCTCGGCGCCGCATTCCTCCACGCTGACCTTGGCCCACACGCTGGTGATGAGCTGCTTCTCCTCGGCTGACCAGTGCACCATGGTGGCTGCAGGAGGACACTGAGCTGAGCTGAGCCCCGAGCTGGGGCCGGGTTTTATGGCCTGGGCCAGCCCCTGGCCGGCCCCTGCAGCGGGGCCATTGGCTGGGACAGGCGGGGGTCCCCACCGGGGCAGGAGGGGGTGGCCAGGGTGGGGCCCCCGAGAAGGGGCCTCTGGTTATCCTGAGCTCCAGAGCTCTGTCCCCTGGGGAGCTTTATCCCAGCCCCTCTGTGGGGCAGCTCCTTCCCCTTCCAGCGTGGGCATGCAGAGCAGGGGCTGCAGGAGCCCCAGCCGTGCTCCATCCCCACTGGCCACAGGCAGGGGCTCAGGGATGGCCCCTGTGAGCCCCGAGCTCGTGCCCCAGCTCTTTGCACACTGGGCTCTGCCTGGCATCAGTGAGGTGCTGAATGCTCCAAATGCAGAGCCACGCAGAGGGGTTGGTCACCAGCAGACCCTGCAGGTCCTGCCCTGCCCAAGGGCTTGGGGGTCCTTGCACCACCAGGAGCTGCTCAGAGGATACTCAGGCTCTGCAGCCAAATCTGCATTAACCCCAATATCCTTCTCTGTAATAGAACTTGACCACTTTGATTTATTTGTGCCTTTTGGAGCAGGAGTAATTATAGTTGGACTTTGGAGTCCAACTTCTGAGCTGGACTTCAATCACCATGGTAGATCCTTTCCAACTGGAGATATTCTAAGACAGAGTGTCAGAATGGTTTGGGTTGGAAGGACCATGAAGCTCACCCACGTTGTGCGAGGCCCACCCAGACGTTGTCCCCTCAGCTGTGACAGGATGAGCCCGCTGCAGTGCTCTGGGCCAGAGCAGGGGCCGAGCAGCATCACCCATTCCTGCCTTCAGCCACATCCCTGAGGAGCACTGCAACAGCCTTGGAACACAGGGTTTCCTGCTGCAGGTTCTGCTGTGGGCTCTAAAACCTGCACAGGCTCAGCTCAGGGATGTCCAGGTGGTGGGGGAACCCCAGTTCCCCATGTCCCTGCCACGTTCAGCCAGGCCAGGCTCTGCTGGGGGAGAGGTTTGGATTCCCCTGGCACACCCTGGAGCTGCCAGGGCTGCAGCCCCTCACCAGGAGCAGAGCCCCGGGGAGATTTCCTCTTTTGTTTTCTGCATGAAGCCCCAGGTAACACCATTCTTGCTGAAATCAGCCCAGGGTTTGATGCCAAGGTGCCAGGGTCAGTGCACTGTTTTCCTGTTGTTTCCCAGAGGGTTTGGCTGGGCTGAGGAAGAGCTGCTGGGTCCTGCAGAGACTGGGGACGATGGGTGAGGGCATGACCAGGATGCAGCAGAGCTGCAGGGCTGACCAAGCTCCTCTCACACATCAGTACTTCCTCCAGGGACCATCTCCTGCTCAGTGTCTTTTGCACTGAAAACATGGCAGGAAAAGCAATTAAAAGAAAGCAAATAGCAAGGGAGGTCTCCAGCCTGACAATATCTTTCCCCTCCACTAGTTGTAGACTCTTTTTTTAGTGGAATAGGAATGAATAATCTTCATTAGATTTGCTTACATTTGCCTTTTCTCCAGAAAATCCAGTCCCCAGAGCTGGGGGGCTGGACCATGATGGCAAATGAAGCCAAGCTCAGCCTGGCACGGGCAGGAAGAGGGGATAGGCAGGGAAAAGGCTGCCAGGGCTGCCCACCCTCCTGCACCCCCTTATCAGCCCCTGCAGGACCTGGGTGCTGCCAGTGCTGCACTGGGCACCGCCCAAGGGGTGCTGGCACCCACAGGGACGTTCTGACACCATGGAATGGGAGCAGGAAAAGCAGCATGGGGAGAGGGCACCCCACAGGATGTGTGTGCTGGGGGCACTTGGAGCAGGCTGGGAATGGAGGTGGGAGTGAAGCCACAAGGCAGCAGCAGCGAGGGCTGCTCCCATCCTGCTGTGTCTCAGGGAATGCCAGGGGGTCTGCTCGGGCTGTGGGATCATGGAATGATAGAATGGGTTGGGATGGAGGGACCCCAAATCCCCCCCAGTGCCACCCCTGCCATGGCAGGGACACCTCCCACTGTCCCCAGTGCCCAGCCTGGCCTTGGGCACTGCCAGGGATGCAGGGGCAGCCCCAGCTGCTCTGGGCACCCTGTGCCAGGGCCTGCCCACCCTGCCAGGGAACAATTCCTCATGGCCAAGATCCCACCCAGCCCTGCCCTCTGGCACTGGCAGCCATTCCCTGGGTGCTGTCCCTGCAGGCCTTGTCCCCAGTCCCTGTCCAGCTCTGCTGTCCTTCCCAGCCCCAGACACGCTGCTGGCAGGAGGAGACCTGCTCATCCACACAGGTCACTCCTTTCTGCCTGAAGCCCATGAACAATCACCTTCATGGGAAACCACTCATATCTGTCATGAAGCCTATGAAAAGTCATGAAATACTTGGGGGTTGGTGACTCTGTGCCTGCCCAGTCTCCTTGCAGGAAAAAAAAAACCTTTTGGAACTTGCTGTGAATCATCTTCTCTCCCTCTCAGTGTGTACCTTGCCAGCAGGAACAACATGCCTCTTTCTTTGGGTGTCGTGACTGAGAAAGGGCATTTATGGGTCACAGGGGGCTTCTAACACCTTCCTGTGGGTCAGGGGCAGAGAGTGAGTGCCCAGAGATGTGGGTGAGGCACAGAGAGAGAGCACGGTGCAACCTGGCTGCCAGAAACCCTGGTTTGAATAGCTTTGCCCAGTATTTTCCCTTAGATGTGGCACATCCTTTCGGCCAAGCATCGCTTTTGCCTCGTCATGCTGTGCTCAGATGTGCTTCCCATGCCAAGAACAAACCCTACCCAAAGAGCCCTGCTCTGCAGACACCCAAACCCACCCAAAACTCCCATCCAGGAAATTAAGTCCCTGCTCTTGGCAGAATGGGGCCCCCCCCAATTGCAGAGTGGGCGGCGCAGGGTGGGAGGGATGTGAATAAACAAAGTCTGCTCAGGCCTCGATAGCAAAATGTTTATCTAAAACCTGCCCCCACCCAGCTGGCTGCTGGGCCTGGGTGACTCAGCTGATTTTGGGTAGGTTTTATGCCAGGGATGAGCCAGGCTAGATTAAAGTCTTCCATTTGTTTATCTTCCCCCTGAAAAACATGAATCCTCTCAATTTCCCCGGTCTAGGAGAGATATGCAGGTTTTACAGTAAAATTCTGAGCACCCCCGGTATGACCCCAGGGGTGGCAGGACTCTACCAACCCCACATCCTGCAGGCACAATTTCCAGAGGCCAACCCCACAGAAAGCACCAGACCCACCCAGAAGGAAGGCAGGGGTATTTTCTGCACAGCCAGCCGTGCCCCCAAGCCCTGGCTGCCCTGAGGGACACACGGAGCAGGCAGAGTTCACAGGATGAGCTTTATTTGGCTGTTAGAAGCGGTTGGGCAGCGGGTGCTGCCGCGCTGCCGCGGCTCCTCAGTGGTACTTGCGGGCCAGGGCGTGGGCAACCACGCGCACCAGCTTCTGCCAGGCAGCCTGGCACTCGGGGGTGAAGTCCTTGCCGAAGTGGGCGGCCAGGACGACGACCAGGATGTCACCCAGGAGCTGTGGGGACAAGAGCAGCCTCAGCTTAGCACAGCCCCACACAAGCACTCACACTGCACCCAGGGGAGCCCCAGGAAATCTGCAGCCTTAAAACACTCCCCCAGTTAGTCCTTTCTAACATGCACCTTAAACCTGGTCTCTGCTCTTGCTCTAAATCCTGCTACCATAGCCAAAAATTCTCCAGAGTACTTTGGAGTAAATTTTTCTCTGTCCCTTCTGGCTTTGTTTTGGAGTTTCTCTCAGGCAGAAGGGCCGGCCGAGCTCCCAGCACAGCAGGAGACAGCACTTGGCCCCACAGAGCACAAACAAGGAGCTCACACTGACACAGGGGCATTTCTGCCAGCCCCAGCCCAGGGACAAATGGTGGGGTTAATTCCCCACTGAGACACTCCCAGCCAAAGTTTTCTCTCTGTAGATCCTCTTTGACTTCTGGCATCCAGCTGCCATCTCCTGCTCCTCACTCATCTCTCTGTTCTCCTCTGTGCCAAACTTTGCTCTTGCTCCTTCTCTCTTCCCCCTTGGCTCAAACCTCTTCCTGCTCAACAACTGCTCTCACTTTGTTCTCCCCCTCCATTCCCTCACTGGAACCACATCCTCCCCTCCGCTGCCCCCTGCCCACCGCCCCTGTCACCTCTCAGCCCGTGCGGTGCCTCCCCTCGGGCTGCACTGGGTCCCTTCCCTCCCTGTCCCTCTGCACCTCACCCCCATGCCAGCCCCAGCCCTCTTCCTCCCGCTCTGCCCTGGCTGGGCAAATCCCTCTGGTGGTGGGGATCAGGCTCTGGGCAGCCCCTGCGCTGGGGAGGGCAGTCACGGCAGGACTCACCCTGAAGTTCTCGGGGTCCACGTGCAGCTTGTCGCAGTGCAGCTCGGACAGCGCGGAGAAGGTGTTCTTGATGCCATCCAGGTTCTTGACGGCCTCCCCGAAGGAGGTCAGCACCTTCTTGCCATGGGCCTGCACCTTGGGGTTGCCAAGGACAGCGGTGGCACCGGACAGGTTCCCGAAGGAGGCAAAGAACCTCTGGGTCCAGGGGTAGACGATCAGCAGCCTGGGGAGAGACAGACAGACAGACAGAGTCACATCAGCGCTCCCATGGCTGGAGTGTTTCCCTCGGCAGGGGCAGGGGCAGGTCTGGAGCTGCACCTACCTGGCCAGGGCCTCGCCACCGCACTCGGCGACGTTGACCTTGCCCCAGAGGCCGGTGATGAACTGCTTCTCCTCAGCTGTCCACTGCACCATGGTGTCGGCAGGAGGGCTGCGTGTCGCACGAGGAACTCAGGCTCTGGCTCCCGGAGGATCGCACGCTGGGGAGCCGCTGCCCGGCCCCGCTTTTATCCCTGCGCGGGGCCCCTCCTCTGCCCCCTGCACCCCGTCATTGGCTGCGCCCCCGGGGGGGCCCTGGCACGGGGAGGGGACCCAGCATCGCCCAGCGCAGGGTGGGGCCCAGGCAAGGTGCCCAGAGCACCCCGGGCCTGGCTGGCCCGCCGCCCTCGCCGTCCCTGATTTCCAGCCCTGCTCGAGGGGCCATTATCTCCCCACAGAGCCCCAGCACGGCCCCGTGCGCGTTCTGCTGCAGCTCCCCTCTGGGGAAGGTGCCAGCCCTGGCGCCCCTTGGGTGTGCCAGCCCCTGAGGTAGGAGACGCCAACCTGGGGCTCCTGGGTTCTCCCTCTGAATGCAGGAGGTTCTCCTTTTCCTTTTCCTGCAGGACCTGTCAGGCTTTGGCCTCTCCCTTTGCTTTCCCATCAGCTCTTTAGGAGTTTGATTAACTTCAGGATGACACTGCTAAAACCATGGCAAGGCCTCGCAGCCAAGAGGGAGCTCCTGTCTCCAAGAACCTCTTGGGAAAGGTCAGGCAGGGCTGGAAGGAGATGTTATAACCCAGGGCAAACCAGCTCCCAGTTGGCTCACAGGGCGTGAGGAGAGGTGGGAACACTGGGATTACTGGGATCCCACAGAATCCCGGGATCCCCGGGGCTGGCCCAGCCCTGCCAGCCCATGCAGTGCCAGCTGTGCCCCATGGGCACCTTGTCCCCAGCCCAGAGCACTCAGTGCCACCTGCAGGGGACACCTGCAGGGCTGGGCACTGCAAAGCTCCCTGGGCAGCCCCTGCCAAGGCCTGAGCACCCTTTCCAGGAAGAAAAAACATCTGCACAGATAAACATCTTCCTTTCCAGGAAGAAAAAGCATCTGCACAGATGTGCAACCTGACAGCGCCTGGCCCAGGGGTTCAGCAGCCTGAGGATCAGTGGAAGCCTGAGAGCTGGGAGAGGCAGCTGGCTCTCTGCTCTTCTGCTCCTGTGCCCAGCTGAAGGTGGGAGGGGTGCAGGGGGCAGGCATGGAGCTCATGGGGCACGGGAATGCCCTGCTGGGGTCTGGGTGACCTTGGAGCAGAGCGTTTGTGTTTGTTCCTGCTCACTGCAGGAGGGGCTGGGCCAAAGGACCCTGGCCAGGCTGGGGGTGACACTGCTTCCTCTGCAAGCAGCACTGGTGTTTCATGGAATCACAGAACCCAGACTGGGCTGGGCTGGAAGGGACCCAAAATCTCATCCAGTCCCATCCCCTGCCATGGGGTGACACCTTCCACTGTCCCAGGCTTTTTCCAAGTCCCATCTAACCAAGTGTTGAGGGTTGTGTCTGTTACCTTCTGCCTTTGTTAACCTAAGAATCTTGGGGGTTTTAAAAACCCCAAGCCAACAAAACCCCACATGCAGGAAGTTACACGCCATGGCCCCAGTCTCCCTGTCACTTCTCCCACTGCACATTTTCTACTCCACTCACTCTGTGAAAGTTTTCAAACATTAAACCAAGCAATGCTACCTGATGTGTCCAAAAAGTGCCAGACTGTTCCTGTTTGTTCCTGTTTTTTCGGGTTTTGTCCTGAACACCCCCCTGGGATCTCCATCTGAGACAAGTTTCACTTGCCTGAAGGAGATCATGGCTCAGTTATCCCCTGTTTGTGAACATTTGCTTCCCCAGCCCCTGTCCCTCCCTCCCCATTCCCACAAAGAACCAGACATCTCCTGTTGGCTGGAGTAGCTGGTGTTTATTGGGTGGTTAGAGCCCAGCAGGACCCGAGGAGATTCCCCAGGAGTGTCTCCAGGCAGGGAGGCTCCCAGGAGGCTCAGTGGTACTCGTGGGCCAGGGCGTGGGCCACCACACGCACCAGCTTCTGCCAGGCAGCCTGGCACTCGGGGGTGAAGTCCTTGCCGAAGTGGGAGGCCAGGACCACGATGAGGGTGTCACCCAGGAGCTGTGGGGAGGGAGCAGGAGCTGTCAGTGCTGCTGCCCCCAGAGCCCTCCCCACAGGAGCAGGATCTGTCAGTGGTGCTGTCCCCAGAGCCCTCCCCAGCAGGATCTGTCAGTGGTGCTGCCCCCAGACCCATTCCCCAGCAGGATCTGTCAGTGCTGCTGTCCCCAGAGCCCTCCCCACAGGAGCAGGATCTGTCAGTGCTGCTGTCCCCAGAGCCTTCCCCAGCAGGATCTGTCAGTGCTGCTGTCCCCAGAGCCCTCCCCAGCAGGAGCTGTCAGTGCTGCTGCCCCCAGAGCCCTCCCCACAGGAGCAGGATCTGTCAGTGGTGCTGTCCCCAGACCCATTCCCCAGCAGGAGCTGTCAGTGCTGCTGTCCCCAGAGCCCTCCCCAGCAGGATCTGTCAGTGCTGCTGTCCCCAGAGCCATTCCCCAGCAGGATCTGTCAGTGGTGCTGCCCCCAGAGCCCTCCCCAGCAGGATCTGTCAGTGCTGCTGTCCCCAGAGCCCTCCCCAGCAGGATCTGTCAGTGGTGCTGTCCCCAGAGCCCTCCCCAGCAGGATCTGTCAGTGGTGCTGCCCCCAGAGCCCTCCCAGCAGGATCTGTCAGTGCTGCTGTCCCCAGAGCCCTCCCCACAGGAGCAGGATCTGTCAGTGCTGCTGTCCCCAGAGCCCTCCCCAGCATGCCCTCTGCTCTCTGGGCAGTTCATAGTACAGCAAGGAGCAGATTGTCCTGGCCCCATCCATGCACTGGCCAAGAGGGACCCCTGGGTGTGCTGGAGCCTCCCCCAGCACCTTCCTGTGCCTGCTCTGCAGGGTCCTCCCTCAGCTTCTACTGGCTTCGGCCCTTCCATTCCCATCCCTTGCACCCTGGCTGTCCCTGGGCCCAGAACCCTCCTGCCAGAGTGGCTGTGGTTTTCCCTTCTGGTTTAACCACTCCCTCACAGCCAAGCCCAGCTCTTCCCTCTAAACCCTGTCTCAGCTCCTTCCCTCTGGCTGCTCCAGGATGTTTCCTCTGACCAGGGCACACTGGTCTGTGCATTTCTGCCCTCTCACCTTGCCTGCCTGGCTGCCTCCCCTCACAGATCCCAGCCTAGAGCTCCTCTCTGCTCCCCCCAGATATGACTCTCCTTTCCCCTCCACTGCCCCTACCCTCCACAGGCTCTTGGGCAGCCCCAGGGTTTCTCTCAAGGTCTCAGGGACTGTCAGACCCCTCTGAGGCCCCTGAAGCCCCTCCTGAGCTCAGCCCCTCTGCCCAGCCGAGGCTGGAGCTGAGTGTGGCTCACCCTGAAGTTCTCGGGGTCCACGTGCAGCTTGTCGCAGTGCAGTTTGCTCAGTGGAGCAAAGCATTTCTTGATGCTGTCCAGGCTCTTGATGGCCTCCCCGAAGGAGGTCAGCACCTTCTTGCCATGGGCACGGACCATGGGGTTGCCACAGACAGCAGTGGGGCTGGACAGGTTCCCGAAGGAGGCAAAGAACCTCTGGGTCCAGGGGTAGACGATCAGCAGCCTGGAGAGAGGTGGAGGGACAGACAGACAGACACAGAGACGTTGATGTTCCAGTGATGGGAGTGTTTCCCTGCAGTGCAGAGGCAGGAGTGATTCCAGGAGTGATTCCCTGCAGGAGCAGGGGCAGGTCTGGAGCTGCACTTACCTGGCCAGGGCCTCGCCGCCGCACTCAGCGACGTTGACCTTGGCCCAGAGGCAGGTGATGAGCTGCTTCTCCTCAGCTGTCCAGTTCACCATGGTGTTGGCAGGAGGTTCCCCGAGCTTCCCTGAGCAATGCCGAGGATGTGGCTGCCGAGGCTGCCCCGGGGATTTTTATACACGGCTCAGCCTAATCTCAGTGCACGGAGGCACTGCTTGGGGCCGGGGAGGGAGCGGGGCTGCACGAGGGGAGATAGTGGCTTTGGCAGCTGTCCAAGGGGGAGAGAGGCCCTGTCCCCCTCTGTCTGAGTGGGGACAAGCATCACCTCAGCCCCGAGCACAGGGGGAGCTGCCGGCCCGCTGGGGGCTCCGGGCTGCATCCCTGCTGGGGAACATCATCCCCTCCTGCCAAGTGATCCTTCACGGTGCTTTGCACATGGAATCATGAATCCCACACCACTCTGGGCTGGGAGGCTCCTTAAAGCCCTGGAGTGCCACCCCTGCCATGGCAGGGACACCTTCCACTGTCCCAGGCTGCTCCAGCCCAGCCTTGGGCACTGCCAGGGCAGCCACAGCTTCCCCAGGCACCCAGAGCCTCAGGGCACTCACCAGCTAAAAACATGAGTTTAAACTCCCTGAGAAAGAATTCCAAGGGCTTCTAAATTTGAGGATTATGGAGCATGGAAAAATCCGAAGGAAGTGTGCTATGCTGGGCTGGCCCAGGGGCTGTTTGTAGCAGTGCCACTGGTCCAAGCACCGTGCACCATGAGGCAATGGGGGGCTGAGTCACCGGTCCCAGTGAGGCAGACACAGCCCCCAGGTGCCTGCCAGGGTGGCAGGGTGGGTGAGCCTGGTCAGGACTGCACCAGCTCTCAGCAGTCCTGCAGAGACCTGGCAAAAACCAAGGCAAGCACAGCCCAGAGTGCCAGCCTTGGGCTCACCCTGATGCTCCATTCAATTTTATTAGAGTTAATTTTCATTATGATTGAAAATCCCCTGCTTTCTGCCTTGGGGCCAGCAGGCAGCAGCCTGCCTGGGAGATTTGGGAGCTCAGGGAGTTCTCTGGGACACAGGCTGGGAGGGGAAATGTTCATCTCCATGTGCTGAGCAGGGGCAATTTCTGTAGCTCTTTTTGAGTCTGCAGAGTCAAAGGGACATCTCCTTTCCCCAGTGCAAGCCCAGCAGCACCTGACAGCTATTGCCAGCTGGTTCCCAGACAGAAAAGCAGGCCCTGCTCTCTGCCTGGGATGGATTTCACTATGCTCAGGACCCTTCCCTCCAGCATCCTTCCAGGGCTGTTCCCTTTGGTGTGGATGGAAGATCTCTGAACTCCTGGAATCACAGGATCATGGAATGGTTAAGGTTGGAAGGGATCTTCAGGAGATATCATTCTCTCATTCCACCCCCCCCCGCCACAGGCAGGGAACCTTCTACTGGACCAGGTCTTGGCCACACACTTGCCCCCTTCCCTGGACAAGAACCTTCCCTTTGGAGACAAACCATCCCAACGAGGGCCACAGGCAGCTCCAGTGAGGGCCCTCCTGCCCCAAGCAGAGTTCCTTGGTCCCTGATTGCAGCAATGTGCCTGCCAAGCTTTACAGAGCCCTTATCAGCAGCAGTGGCATCTGTGCCCAGGCTCTGTTCTGGAGCCAGGCCAGCCTCCACGCTCCTCCAGGGAGTGCAGGGCCTTGTGTCTTATCCAGCAGGTCCTGAGGGTGTCTTTGTTCCTCTTTTAAAATCCCAGAAGGTTTGCATTGGGAGGGACCTCACAGCCCACCCAGTGCCACCAGTGCCATGGCAGGGACACCTCCCACTGTCCCAGGTGCTCCCAGCCCCAGTGTCCAGCCTGGCCTTGGGCACTGCCAGGGATCCAGGGCATCCTGCATGCAGGGCTCTCCTGTACTCTCCTGACCTGTTTTTGGGTCAGGGGGGCTGGCGGTAGCTGTGACTTTGCTCTGTCACAGCAGAGAGGGACAGCTGTCACTGGGAGAGGGGGACACTGGCTCTGTGACCCAGGCATCACCCCCTTGTCACCGTCCCTAGCCCTGGACAACAGGACTGCCCAGGCACTGGTCAGAGAGCAGGATGTGCTCCACAGCACCACTGGGACATGTCCAGAGGAGAGGAGCAGCAGAATGGTCACAATGAGATCATTCATTGGGGTGGAAGGTCCCTGCTGAGGTCCCTGGCCCCTGCCCTGGGTGCTGACCCAGCCTGGGCACCCCCAGGCCAGGGTGCTGCTGTGCACCCACCACCCAGCGCTGAGTGCTGGAAAGTTCCACAGCTCTGAACTGAACAGCTCGTGGGGAAGGTCTCACCTCCTGCCATCCTGCTGAAATGCCCTTTACTGGTGAAAGAAGCTGTGCTGCAGGGAAGCTGGATTCGAATTTTGGGCTTTTTTCCTAATTCTTTTCCTCCAGCCCCTCGGTGCTGCTGGCAGGGCTGGACCTTGCCTGCCTGGCTGTGCAGGACAGAGGGGTGAATGCACATCCCTGCTAGATCAGGAGAAAGGCTGAATATTTATTCCTAAAACATGCAAAACATGTATTTCATCATTCTGAGACACCAACATGTCTCTCCTTGTTGCTTTTTAGGCTGTTCCTGAAAAAACATTGCTGAAACTGAGATGCCTACAAACAATCTTTCAATTCCACTGAAAAGATGTGCTTCATTAAGCCAAAATGAGTAAAAAAAAGGCTCTAACCCATCCTGTGTGAGAGCTGCCCTCATCCCCTCTTGGGATCTTACACATTTCAAATATCAAACTCTGACCAAGATGCACCAATCCTGCACCATCACTGATGCAGAAAATGCTTTTAATCAACTTAATACATCAGTAGGAAACTATGGAGGGGTAAATTCCTGCCTAATCAGTGAATCTCTATGAATTTATATCCTTTCAGATATCCCAGGAGGAGAGGCCCAGGGCCCACAGGCAGCCACAGAGACACAGAACACAAAGAAATCCAGAAAATGAGGTTTTTATTGCCCGTTACAGACACGGGTGCCTCCCGAGGCCTCAGTGGTACTTGCGGGCCAGGGCGTGGGCCACCAGCCCCACCAGCTTCTGCCACGTGGCCTGGCAGGCAGGAGTGAAGTCCTTGGTGAAGTGGGCAGCCAGGACGATGACCAGGATGTCACCCAGGAGCTGCAAGGGGAAGGCAAGAGGGAAATCAGGTCAGCAGAGTGCTGGGCACCCCTGGCCCTGCACAGCACCCGGGCCCAGGGAGCTCAGCTCCCCCGTGGGTGCGGGGCCGTGGCCCAGGGAAGCTCTGCCAGCTGCAGGACAAGAGCCCTGTGCTGGCTGTGGGCATGGGTGCCCACCTGCTCCAGCTCTGCTTCCTCACACGTTTTCCAGCCACTAGACATTTTTCTGCCTTTCCTTTTTCTGCTGTGAAACCTTACACCCACTTCAGCTGAGGGTCAGTGCGAGGCCTACCTTCTACACCCCAGAGCCAGGCTTAAACAGGAGCTGGAGCAGAGGCCAACATCTGCTCCTCTTCTCCAGCCATGCCTGCACGAGCCCCCAGGATTTTAGAGAATCCCCCTATGTGTGTCACCACATTTGTCCTTGCAGGCCAGAGCCCAGTATTACCCTGCACTATGGAATTCCCAGCCTTCCCCTGTCCCCCAGCTCCCACTCCAGTCAGCCAGGTCCTGTTTGGTAACTAAAACACAAGCTAGTGATGCCTGTTGGAAACCCCCCAGGCACTGAGGTGCTCTGAGGAAGGAGGGACAGAGGGCAAAGCTCCAAGCACAGCTCACCCTGAAGTTCTCGGGGTCCACGTGCAGCTTGTCACAGTGCAGCTCCGACAGCTTGGAGTAGGTGCCCTTGAGGTTGTCCAGGTTCTTGATGGCCTCCCCGAAGGAGGTCAGCACCTTCTTGCCATGGGCACGCACCTTGGGGTTGCCGATGATGGCCGTGGGGCTGGACAGGTTCCCGAAGTCAGAGAAGAACCTCTGGGTCCAGGGGTAGACGATCAGCAGCCTGGGGAGAGACACGGGCAGGTGAAGCTGCCTGACTCAGGGCCTCCCTGCAGCGCAGGGCCCTCGCGCAGCTGCACCCACCTGGCCAGGGCCTCGGCGCCGCATTCCTCCACGCTGACCTTGGCCCACACGCTGGTGATGAGCTGCTTCTCCTCGGCTGACCAGTGCACCATGGTGGCTGCAGGAGGACACTGAGCTGAGCTGAGCCCCGAGCTGGGGCCGGGTTTTATGGCCTGGGCCAGCCCCTGGCCGGCCCCTGCAGCGGGGCCATTGGCTGGCACGGGCGGGGGTCCCCACCGGGGGTCCCCATGCAGTGGTCACTCTGCCCTGAGGTGTGGTCACTGAGGAAAGCCTGTGAGTCCCTTAACAGACCAGGCCAGGACACAGGATCCTCTTATCTCTGTCTCCCTCAGCCCTGGCCGCTGTTCACCACAGGCATGGACATTCCGCCCATCCCTGAACAGGCACAGACCCCTCCGAGAGGTGCTTCGGAATCACAGAATTCTCTCTGTTGGAAAGCACTTTAAAGCTCTTTAAAGCTCTTTAAAGCACTTCTTGTTCTCTCCCCTGCCATGGACAGGGCACCTTCCACTATCCCAGGCTGCTCCAAGCCCTGTCTGGCCTTGGACACTTGCAGGTGTTGCTGAAGCAGAGGTCACCGTGCTCTGATTGCTCCAGCTTGACCTTCATGCCATGGAATCATAGAAACATGGACTATCCTGAGCTGAAAGGGACAGAGTCCCAGGATCCCTGTTGCTGGAAAAGCCCTCCCAGCTCCAGGTTTCCAAGAATAGCTGTGTGGGATGCCAGGCTGGGCTGCATCCGTGAACAGGCCCCTCTGCTCTGCCCACGAGTGTGCAGTGTGAGCCCTTCAGGGGTCTCTCCCTGCTGGGAGTGAAAGGCCTTGCACAGGGACAGCAGGACCCTGCCCTGTCACAGCCCCAGCAGCAGCATCCATTTCCACGAGGGAGAGCTCTGCCTACAGGCTTTTGGCTGACTCTGGCTGACACCTGCACAGGTGTTTTCCTGGTTTCCAGGCCTCCAGTGAAGCTGTGCCCCTGTACTCAGAAAGGCAAAGCCAGGACGCTTGAGCTGTCAGGCATCCAGACACAACCATGGACATGGAATTGTTCCAGGCCAGGCTGGATGGGGCTTGGAGCAGCCTGCTCTGGGAGAATGTGTCCCTGCCCAGTGCAGGGAGCTGGAACTGGCTGATTATCCAACCCAAACCATTCCAGGATTCTTTGAATCCGTGGCTTTGGGTCTGGCTCTGGGATGTTTAGGAAATCTCATCCAGACCTCTGAAATCTTCCAGTTACAGACTGATACTGGTCCATCGATCTGGGAAGGCTGGAGAGGGACTTCTTACATGGGGAGGCAGAAATAGGACAAGGGAGAATGGCTTCCCACTGCCAGAGGGCAGGGCTGGATGGGATCTTGGCAATGAGGAATTGTTCCCTGGCAGGGTGGGCACAGGGTGCCCAGAGCAGCTGGGGCTGCCCCTGCATCCCTGGCAGTGCCCAAGGCCAGGTTGGACACTGGGACTGGGAGCACCTGGGACAGTGGGAGGTGTCCCTGCCATGGCACTGGTGGCCCTGGTGAGGTTTAAGGTCCCTCCCAAGCTGCACCAGTCGGGCATTGTGTGATCTCACTGGAGACACAGTGGCACGAGCCCATCACCGTGATCCCCTTGGGGCATTCACATCTGCAGGCACATTTAACTTCTCACCACAGGGTTCTATGAGACATTATTAATTTTTTCCACTCCTGGGCCGTGGGAGAGGCACTTCCATCATCCCCAGGCAGGCTCTGATAGCCCGGGCAGTGGGGCTGTGTGGGGCAGATAAAGGTATCAACAGGGCCTGGTGCTGCCTGGGCTCCTCACCTGCAGAGCAGACACACGGCACACCCCTGCTTCTCAGCAGATCTGGGCACTCCAGAAGGTGACAAATTCACTCTACAGAGCTACAAGGAGTGTGATGGAGTAGAGCAGCCCTGAATTCCCAGGCAGGCATTCCCATTCTGAGGCAGCATCTGCTCACCCAGCTGGGGATGACAATAAACGGCCTCAGTGGCCTCTGCATTTATTACCTCTCTGCAGCCTGAATTGCCTGCCATTGAAATTAAACCCAGGCTGCATCTGGGGCTGATCTTAGCAATGCACTCGCCTCGCCTCTGATAGGAGATTCATTTCAGCTCTGCAAGGCCAAGCTTGAAAAGGGAAAAGATAATGATGCTTCTCTGCTGCATCTGAACCAGCAGCAGGGGAATGCTCAGGGAGGGGCAGCAGGAGGGTGAGCTGGGACACGCAGCACAACATCAAAAACAGGCTGGAGGGGAGTGTTGACTGCAGCATTAATAGTATTTTTAAAATGTGGTTAATAAATGCTGGGTTTTTGGAGCCAGTTGAAACAGGCAGAGATATGGCTTGTGGTGAGAAGCCTGCAAGCCTGGACCTACGCTGTGACCCATCAGGGCCTGGTTTTACTGGTGTTTTTACTGTTTACTGGTGGTTTTACTGGGTTTTACTGGTGTGGGAGCAAGATGACTTTTCATGGATAAGTAATGATGGCCATAAAGAGCTGAGGGGGAAGGAGGAAGGCAGAGGAAACAGGAGAAAGAGAGGCAGAAGTAATTTCCATTCAGACAGGCCCACTCCATGCCGCTCCCCTGTACTGATCCCTCTAATGGTTGGTTTTATCCCCACAGCAGCTCTTTAACCTCTAAATACCTTCAGATGGGCACAACAGCAAAGGAATAACAGCAGGTGAATCAGCCTCTTAATCGTATTAGGGTCTTGTCCCTGTGCCTGGGGACTGTCTGACATGGCAGTGGCCTTTTGCAGCCACTCTGTAAATTTACACCTCAGCTCCAGCCCCTCCTGCCCCACAGGTCCCACTGGCCCATTTGGCTGTGGACAGTCTGGGCTGGCTTGAGGGCAGAGGTGATTTCCCACCACACTGCTGCTGCAGGCACCCAGGAAGGGCTGGCTACAGAATGGAGCTCAGGGCAGCAGGGGATGTCAGGAACTCCTGGAAAACTGGACAGGGACTGGGGACAAGGCCTGCAGGGACAGCACCCAGGGAATGGCTGCCAGTGCCAGAGGGCAGGGCTGGATGGGATCTTGGCAATGAGGAATTGTTCCCTGGCAGGGTGGGCAGCCCTGGCACAGAGAAGCAGAGCAAAGCCAGATGGTCCCAGATTTTATGGAAGGGGCAGAGCAGGTGCTCTAAGCCCATGCAGGATGTGGTCAGTGATGAATGCAGGGAAATGCAGAACGAGTGTGTCTGAATCACCACAACTTGTACAACTCCCCCTGGCTGGGACTGGTTGTTACCTGAACATGGTGGAAAAGACTTTCTGGAAATGCAGTTTTCTCCATAGAAGGGAGAGGGATACTGGGAGACACCACAGGCAGCAGAGGTGTGGAGACCCCCAGCAGGCTGGAATTGTAGAGCAGGCTGGAATTGTAGTGCCATCCCCACCGAGGGACTCTGCTCTCAGCACAAGGACATTCCTGTTTGTTTCTCTGCTGTAACAAGCAGGGGAAATGCAGCGGAGGTTAAATTAATTCCTCTCTGCCCCTAAAAAACTCCTCTCATTTCAGGATCCAGATTTAACCCTTTTAGGTCTGACTGCAAGAGGTGTGGAGCACCCCTTGCTCTGACTGCTCCAGCTTGATCTTCATGCCATGTAATCACAGAAAAATTGAATATCCTGAGCTGAAAGGGACAATATCCCAGGAAAATCCCATGGAGTTCCAGCTGTGCCCCATGGGCACCTTGTCCCCAGCCCAGAGCACTCAGTGCCACCTGCAGGGGACACCTGCAGGGCTGGGCACTGCAAAGCTCCCTGGGCAGCCCCTGCCAAGGCCTGAGCTCCCTTGCCATGGGCAAATTGCTGCTGACAAAGGACCTACAAAGATCATTGTGTCCAGCTTCGGGCCCTGCAGAGGACCACCCCAGGAATCCCAACATGTGCCTCACTTCTCATACAAACATGTTTTGATTGACTTGGAGCCTTTCATGGTATTGCTTTAATTTTATAGGAAATCTGTGTCTGGAATGTGAGTCCTGGGTGACACTGCTGGGGCTGGATGCAACATAAATGCCCAGGAACCTGCTGGGCGCAGCAAGAGACCTGTCCCAACCCTCTTTGTTTGTCCATCCCTGTCCCTGTGTCTCTGCAAAGGGACCCACCAGGATGTGGCACTGGAGCCCCAGTGCCACGGGCTCGAGGTCCAGAGCTGCTCCAGAGGGTGGTGACAGGGCGAGAGGCACAGGGTGAGGCCTAAGGGCCAGGATGACTGGGGAAAAGCTAAATTTTAGTGAATCTGCTTCCCAGTTATCCCTCAGCACAAGAACTCAGCAAAACCACCCAGAAAGGGGCAAAAGCAGGATTTTCATTGCAGACAGGCTCCTGCAGGACAGGCTCGCTGAGGGCAGAGCTTTCCTGGAGGGTTTGCTCTGTCCCTGGCCCTGGCTGGGCTCCATCTCAGCACAGGAGGGACCTGGGCTAGAGGGGACACTGAGGGGACACTGAGGGGAGATTGAGGGGGCACTGAGGGGGACACTGAGGGAGGGACACTGAGGAGGCATTGAGGAGACACTGAGGGGGCATTGAGGGGACGCTGAGGGATGCTGAGGGGACGCTGAGGGGACACTGAGGGAGGGCCACGCTGGCCAGGGAGGGCAGGCAGGGCTGAGGGAGGCAGGCGGCTTTGCCAGCTGTGCCCCCCAGCCCCGTGCCCACCATGGAGCTGTCCCAGCCCCGGCCCATCCCGGCCCATCCCGGGCTATCAGCCGGGACCCCCGCCCTGGCCGGCCCCCGGGCCTCCCCCCTATCGGCCCGGGCAGCCCAGAGCCCCTCCCCGGGGCCGGCCCCGATAGCCCCGGGCTGCAGCCCCAGATAAGCCCGGCCCAGGCGGCTCCGGTTGTGTGGGGCCGGCAGGGTCAGCACGGGGGTGGACAGACGGATGGACAGATCTCCATCCACACAGGATGCAGTTCTGCTATGGAATCATGCAGTGCTTTGGGCTGGAGGGACCTCACAGAGTCACCCCTGCCATGGCAGGGACACCTCCCACTGTCCCCAGTGTCCAGCCTGGCCTTGGGCACTGCCAGGGATGCAGGGGCAGCCACAGCTGCTCTGGGCACCCTGTGCCAGGGCCTGCCCACCCTGCCAGGGAACAATTCCTCATTGCCAAGATCCCACCCAGCCCTGCCCTCTGGCACTGGCAGCCATTCCCTGGGTGCTGTCCCTGCAGGCCTTGTCCCCAGTCCCTCTGCAGCTCTCCTGGAGCCCCTGCAGGCCCTGCCAGGGGCTCTGAGCTCTCCCTGGAGCTTCTCCTCTCCTGTCCATGGGGTACATTGAGTTTTCCTATCATGTTTTCCTTTCAGGGCAGCTGAGAGCTGTTCCAGAACAGGGGTTCAGGGTCTCCTCCATCTTTGCCTGGTGCCCCCAGTCAGGATTCACACGGACCAGGAGGATCGGACAGGACTCTCCTCAGGACCCTTCCCTCTGCTCCTGCAGCCATGGGTCTGCTCTCCCCCTCCCAGAGCTCCCGTCCCCCATGGCCCCTGGGGGAGCTCCATGGACAGCCTGAGCCAAGCCCTGCTGCAGGAAATGCACCTGAACCATGCCTGGTTGTGCTGTGGTGGCAGCAGGGGTGCAGAGCAGGTATCCTCAGCCAGGTACCTCCAGACCCCTCAGAGTGAGGGCCTTGCTTTGCCTCAGCAGCTCCAGCACCCTTTGTGCCAGGCCAGGTGAGCTCTGAGGGGTCCCACAGTGGTGCCAGCACTGCACCTGCCACAGGCCCAGCTGGCTCTGCCTCTCACTGCTTTGCAGAAGGTTCCCTCCATCACACACCCCCACAAAAATCCCAGCGTTGTCTGGGAACCACGAGAGCTGTCCTGGACCTCACAGTGCTGGGGCACATGCTAACAAAAGGTTTTCTGTGTGTAAGGATGGCTCCAGGTCAGGCAAGGCCTTTTCTCCTCCTGCTCATGGCATGGCACCAGCTGAGTCAGGACATTTTTTATGGGTCTTGTTCTGCCTTTACTGCCTTAAAGCTGGCAATGGATAGAGCCAGACTGTTCCATGTTGGGGCTGGTTTGGGGAGGGCAGACCTGCCCTGACTCCACATCTGACCCCAACCTGCCACTGGGCTCTTATTCAAGTACCAAAAGGGGCTCTGAAAATGGGGTAGAACCTGGGGAAGTCCCCCTGCAGAGGCTGAGGGGTTGTTTGGGGGCTGGAGGGAAGCTCTCCCTGCTCCAGGTGAGGCACTGGACCTGGTCCCTGGGGCAGCCCCTGGCAGAGCCTCTCCCACTGCCCCAACAGGGACCATGGGGCTCATCCCAGAACCTCAGGGGTCCCAGGGCTGTGAGTGAGTCAGGGCTGGCCTGAGCCCCATCACTCACTCTGCTCAGCTCTGCCCTGCACCAGCACTGGGCAGAACCAGGGAGCCCCAAACAGCAGCTGAGCTGAGGTGGGCTCAGGGCACAGAGCCCACAGACCCCGGGCATGCTCCTGTCTGAGGCTCCTCTTCACACACCCAGGCAGAAAGGGAGCTCTGAGACCCGGGCCAGGACTGGGACCAGGGTCAGGATCAGTTCCAGGATCAGGATCAGACTCAGGGCCAGGGCCAGGATCAGGATCAGGATTGGGACCAGGGTCAGGATCAGTTCCAGGATCAGGATCAGACTCAGGGCCAGGGCCAGGATCAGGATCAGGATTGGGACCAGGGCCAGGATCAGTTCCAAGATCAGGATCAGGACCAGGGTCAAGATCAGGACTAGGGTCAGGACCAGGACCAGGGTCAGGGCCAGGGTGAGAGTTGGGATCAAGCTGAGGGGTCTCACCCCCATGCCCAGGACTGGAGCCCGTTCTCTGCAGTTTATGGGATGTTTATGGGCTCTGCCATGACAGACTGGTGGGATGAGTTTGCAGAGGCTCAGGGTGCTGAGTCACGGTGCTGGCCCCAGCCTGGCCGTGCTCAGGGGTGATAACTGGGGTGGCACAAACAGGAGCCTTGTGGGCAGTGATAAGGCAGCCCCTGGCCCCAGGGCAGTGTCCCCTTTCTGCTGAGTCAGACTCTGACACAGCAGAAAACATTTCTGCTGAGCCAGAGGGGCAGCCAGGGGAAAACAGACAGCTTTTTAAATGGATTCTTTATTTTGCTTAGCAGAACCAGGCAGGCAGCTCTGGACTCCCCAGCACAGGCTGCTGACTGCTGTGTCAGCGAGGGGCTCAGGACCCTCCTCTGTCTGTGGGGCAGAGCCCATGGCAGGCTCAGGAGCTCTGCATTCCCAGAGGGATGGTGGGACACGTCCTGAGACCCAGCCCCTCGTCTCCATCCCCCTTCTGCTGCCCTGCTGCAGGTCTGGGGGCAGGGGCTGTGGAAGGTGCCAGCTGCTGCTGAAGACTTCCCTGTTTCCCTGAGAGAGGGAATTTCACACCTTGTCCTCCTCCTCCCCTGCTCCCCCTGAGTTGGCCACAGGCAGGACTCCCTTGGGGAAACTGAGGCACAAAGCAGAGTGGCTGCTGTCCAGAAATGCCATGAAATGCTCATGGCAGGGGCAGATGCCCTTCAGGACAGGGCCATGTTTGCTGTCCCATGTCCTGCTCCTAGCCAGGGACACAGCAAGATAAAGTCTTCCTCAGAATGAATAGAATTCCTTAAAATGTTTATAATTCTTTAATTAGAATCATGGATGGCATCATGGCATCCCAGACTGGTTTGGGTTGGAAGGGACCTTAAAGCCCATCCATTTCCACCCCCCCTGCCATGGACAGGGACACCTTCCACTGTCCCAGGCTGCTCCAAGCCCTGTCCAGGCTGGAGGTTCTGACTGGACAGTGATGCCCAGCCAGCCTGGGGGTGGGGGTGTAGCCAGGTGTGCCCCAGCCAAGCTCCTGCTGCGCTCCCAACCCAGCCTTTTCCACTGGGACTGGGCAGCTTTTGGGTCTGTGTGGTTCAGGGTGACCCACAGCACAAAGTGACTGTGTTTGGAAGCATGCAGCTGTCCAGACTGAG